TATTAAGTTACTGGTACTTTTGTAACTCAATTCTGCATATCATAACGATATTTACCGGAATTCTAACCTATGAGATGCAGACATAGGAGATAAAGCTTTTGCATTAACGGCAAAATTCTTGTTTATAATATGATTATTTTACAAGCACAGGGATTCCGCTTCTCCCGCAAAAAACGCTCCCCGGCCTTTCTTTGAACCAGAGTGGTCATGTGACTATCGATGATATCGGTGAATTCAAATTGACTATAAAAAGTGTTAGTAACCTGTTATAGTCACTTTGGATGAATTGTGACCAAACTGCACGATTTTCAAATCAGACGAAACTTTTAGCAGCATGTCACAGATTTGCAAAATCAACAAATTCACAAAATACCATTAAGTGCCATTTTATTGTAATCACAATGTTGAAAGGACGTGGCATTTTCCGGAATTTTGCGATATTTACACAACTATTTCTCATTGATATGCGAGGAAGGGTGGGCAAAATTCAATATTTTTTTAAATCGAATATTTTTAAGGAGTATCGAATAAACGTGGTGGAAACATTAAAAAATCGGCAACAAAGACTTTTTACTGGTTAATTCCGTCGTAATCGCTAATTGTTCTTGTCACCGATCGTTTTGGCGGCGATATCCAGGTTTTGGGTAATCTATATTCCCGCCCTCTCTTTTTTACAAATATGAATTCTTGTGGGTCGGCGGACATCGAAGTTTTATATTTCGGGTTTACCCGTTCGTTCACATCGGCAACAGCTGTTGAAGACATTGAGGACTCAAATTAACATTTGCGCTGGCTTCAATATTACCTATCAAGATTTGTAAATTTACGGTCCCAATTTTATGCGAATGGTAATATTATTGTCCATACCGTGATGCAGATATTTATTAAGACGATAATTAACTTTCTCATGTATTTCTATGGTGATAAACTTCGCAAATCTGAAATTGTGCCAATCCTGAATGTTGATTTGAAATAGTGATTGAATAATTCGGCTATAAAGGCATTTCTGCGTGGTCATAAGACGAGATGACGTTAATGAACAGCACTTTTTTTACAGGATATTTTACGTATGCGACTTAATGCTAAAAAGATTGGGCTCGAGTGCTTTTTTTTTCGAGTGCTCGAGTGCCTAATAGAGGTCAGGCGCTAATTGTAACTAATTCCCTCAAGTTTCAACGTGTTTTCAACAAAACGATACCCCGGCGATAATTATAGCTAAAATGTTACCGAGCAATTCACAATTTTATTTATGGAATTTGCAAATTCACCAGTTTCTTGACGATTTTGATGTTGTCACGCCCTAATTATTAGTGCAAAAAATACTCCCCTTCTTCCGCGGCGGTTTGACGGGTTCTTTGTTCCATTCTTCAGAAAGTTCTGACACAGGGATATAGAATACTGAATCCGAATCCCTGTCCACTTACTGGTGATTTTCCGTTTTGAAATGCGTGAAACACTCTCTATTTTAAATTAAATGACGTTTCGCGGGCTAGAGTTCTCCCCGAAAATGATGTGTTCCAGACGTTAGTTAGACGATAGATAAAACATTAAATTAATAATTTTCGTGACGCCCGTTTTCGAAAATACAAAGTTATATCGCAAAAAAATGCGTTATGATACATTTGGAATGAAACATTATTTACGGTGAATTTAGATCATATTTTGCTACATTTTGTTACATTTAAAATAAAACATTTTTGCGATTAATTTAGATCATATTTTACTTTTCAGGAAACCCGTTTTCGAAAATACAAGGTTATATCGCAAAATGTGTTTTGTTACATTTAAAATAAAACATTTTTGCAATTAATTTAGATCAAATTTTACCTTTCACGGCAACACGTTTTCGAAAATACAAAGTTATATCACAAAAAATGCGTTTTGTTACATTTATTTTGCATTCCCAATAAAATACATATTTTCCCTAATTAAGGTCTTCGATGAATCTGTTCCTGTCGTTCAAGCTCGACACACGTTTGGACGAGTGTGGGGCGGTTTTTTGATCGACGATAAATTAAGAAGTTGCCACACGTTATTTGTATAACGATAATAACTGAAAATTAAGATTTTATAATAGAAGTGAATTTGTCTCAAGATGGTATTTTACAATTCCTGCCCACAGAAAATAAACACGCTGACAGGCTTGGTTATAATTGATATTCGTTTAATTTATTTTACACTATTAATAAACGCGCCACACCAATTGCGACCATATAAATTGCAGTCGCATCGTTATGGACTGTATGTTTTTGGCGCTCTCAAATTAATAATAATTTTCAACAAAACAATACCCCGACGGTCATTAAAGCTGAATTCGTTACCGAATAATTCGCAATTTTATTTACGGAATTTGCAATTTCAAGATCTCACTTGACGATTTTGATGATGTCATGCCCTAATTATTACTGCTTAAATGCCTCAAAATACAGCAAATGTAATAATTTTCGACGATAACAGGCGCAACAATTCGTAAACGAGCCGTTATAACGAAATTCGCGATTGATTTTACCTCTCTCTTGTTTACAATTTTAACATCCCGCCGGCCATGTATGGTCGAATAAAATGTTCACATATTCGAAACATGACTTGGCCAAGGATGGAAGGGATCACTAAAGAGCTAATAGAAAGTACATACGCGAGGGTATGATATTAATATCGAGAATATTTGAGCATATCACAGGACGGAAATATTTTGCACCCCGCTGTTTGTTGGCAGAACAACGATACGCTAAAGTTAATTGATCGAATACAGGGAAGTATTTATTTATCATCTCACTTGCGAACATCGAGGTTTTGGCGGAATTGTACGATCATGTTGTCTTTCTTAAATAATAACTTTTTCAATAAATGTTCATTTTACTTTTGCGTCTTTATTATATGTCTGGTTTTCATTTATTTCAAATTCGAAATTGTCCGAAATACTCCAACAGGTGTATAGGTACAATAATAATAGTTCTTACCAAAGTACACACCAGGGAAGTTTAACACACACGATGTGTAAAGGGCGTCGTAACTCCCGTTTATTAATTATAAATTTTTTTACATTCTGCTTAAAAAACAATGGCAGTCATCTCACGTAACTCTCGCGACCAAATCTTTTTTGTTTTTATGGCATCGTCTTGGCGACGAATTTATTGCTGACTGAATTTTAATTGTGTTTTAGGTTAGTTATTTTCTGTTTGTTGGTTTCTAAAATTTACAAACTTGGGTAGCAATTACTATTAATGTGAGATTTGTGCATATGAACGATTGAATATCGCGACTGGATATCCGATATCTGAGAATGCGTAATTCTCTTTCAACATTAATTTTCAGGATATCAGCGTTCATGTGGTCGAATAAAAATTATTTATCAAATGGATTGGTATTTCGAGACACTCTCAAAATTATTTGGGATCCATTATCATATCATTCGTTTATTTTTTATATTCATGTTTTTCTCAAGAATCACCCTCGTTATATTTAGTGTACCTTCGCAAAAGAAAACTCTTTGATGTCATCGTTCCTATTAGTGTAATTGAAATATATGGAAACCTCGCAAGTGGCGTTGTGATGCGAATATTTGATACTAGGTCAGCAGCATTACAAAGAGTGCTATTTATGAATGCTGAAAGTACATGACATTACTAAACATTTTGCCAATATATGATGTTTTCTGCCTGATTTAAACTAACTCGCACGCAAACCAAGGCATGTGGACATTTAAAAATTACTTGTCTTTGGGTAAGCTCTGAAATAGTATAATATAAATGTAAATGAGAAATTAGGTCACGCTAGCTCACGAAACGGGAGGATTTTCAAAGTGATCTTGTGTAATATTTCGGAGAAAAAAGTTTGAAAGGAAAGTAGGTCAACCTATCTCCTAATACAGGGGAGTATCCTGCATAATATTTCGGAAGGAAGGTAGGTTAACCTATCTTTTAAAACAGCGGGTGGCGACTTTCAAAGTGGTTCAAAATCACAAATTAATAATTATCAGATTAGGTTTAGGGATGAATCGAAAAGTTGAATTTCTAGCTTCTATTATTTTGCACCGGATTTGTACAAACGATCCACCCTGTAACTAATATGGTTTCCAGCCGGCCTGTGTCTGTTAGATGGAAGGAGTAACAAATGTGAAAGTCTTTGCTGTTTACGCGAGTAAGCAACTGACACCATGATACATTGCATGAAAGTTTTGTCCGCGGCAGGTGTTAGCAGATGTCATTTCGTTGCCGATGAATTCGCTTGTTTTAATTAAACATGAATTCGCTTAAAGGGAACTCTGTTAACGAAAAGGCTTCTCTTTAATTCATAATATTAACCGGAGGAGCGCTTTTTCGAGTATCTATGCTGTTTTAAATGGGTTTTATGGAAGGCTAGGGCACCTAACTTGTTAAAATCGGCAAAAGCACTTTCGCACTTTTTTTTTGGACTGCGAAGCACTTTCGCACTCATAATTTGCTTAGAGTTAACACTGCTATTCATACTTCATGTATTTCGCTGTATTTCCCAAAAAACTCATTGAATTGTTTGTTCGCCTTATATATCAACTCCATCAAGTCCATACTTCCAAAAACAAATAATTGACTAACTAATCCCATATCCTGTCGGACTGGTAACCAAATGAGAGGCTGTGGTTTGCCATATGATTGAGCCGTCTTATCAGCTTTCCTTTCCAATAAATATGTAAATACTTCTATATGTGTTGTTTTTAGAATCACAGAACTTGAAGTGTATTCAAGATCCAATTAAATTATAATTTTAGAGTTCACTGTTCATTCAGAATAACGTATTAGTTTTGGCAATCATTGTAACTGTGCAAATAACCAGTCAACCATTTAGGACTGTACTTACAATCCTACTTTTGTTTCAATCGGAATTTACCACAAAGAATCAATCAAGCGACAATAGTCGGAATATTACTATCCTAACAAAGAGATGTAAATGCTGTAATTTTCCCTTCATTATATACCTGTTTAAGACGAGGTTAAGTTATTCAAACCATTTTTAACAGATATAAAAGCTGAGTCATAAGTATATTAATAAAAATTCTTTTTGTGGGTGATCTTAATGATTGGATATGAACGGATATATCTTGAAAGGATAGTGTCATTGCCATCTGATGGACTCAACAACTGTTACAGAAAATCAGCCGGTTATATCCGATATATGGTAAGTAGTCATATTTTGATCACATTTTATGGATGTATTTTCAGTGACAAAAAATCCCAGTACTCTCTGCATGTCATTGGCAATTTCTTACTGAGGAGAATAACTAGAATTCGGTTGGAAACCGAAGACTTATCAATCGAAGGTTAGGGGATCCCCCAAAACAGTGGTCTTACTCCATAGTGACACCGTGTGTTCCCTCACTAATTAATTAATAACTCGCTAATTATACGACATAATCCATCCAAAATCAATAGGCTTCTGATCCGAGCTAAGATGAATGCACATGCAAAATTTGGAGCAGATTGAACCTCGCTTTCGTGAGATATCGCGTGCATCTAACACACAGACAGTCAAATACCTATCAACATACTTACCGATCAAGATCGATAAGTAACTAGTGTCATTAAGTATATATGAGCATGAGAAAATTTGCAAATGGTGAAGAGTATACAACTCTTGGTATATTTCAATATAATATTGACATCCTATACCTCATTCCATATTCTATAGACCAGTGATTCTCAACTTTTAAGCCGTGCCCCGTTTTTAGAATTTGTCAAGTCTCGCTCCCAACTTAAAAAATAACTAGCTAACAATTACAGATAGCAAGGCGGAAGTATGTTTTATTAAAAAAATACCTGATTAGAATGTGAATATCTAAAATAAAAGTGAATAGCCTATACAAAATGAAAGATCAAATCTAACTAATATATTTATTTTGGTGCTCCCGAAGTATGCGAACCAAGATGGCGGACATCGGAACGTAACATGGGTAACAGGTTAGGGTTAGGCGATAATTTTTTTCCAATTTTCCTTATTTTAGTCCTATAATCAGTTCGAAGACTAGCCAAGAGCCTCTCGTAGTATTTATACCTGAAATTATGGCCTAACTCTAACCTAGTACACATATTACATTTCGATGTCCGCCATCTTGATTCGCATACTTTGGGAGCCCCTTTATCTTAGATTTGTTTTACGCCCCCTCAAATCCTTGTGGGGCGTGCCCCAACATTTGAGAACCACTGCTGTATACTGAAGTCATTTGTTACCTCATTGACTTAACAAGAGGTTTGTTTACATTGGATTGGTTGCTTTGTATAAGCGACAACAACGTGATGTAATATGGAGCGTATTATTCCCAGTATAGGACCATTCAGTCAATGAAACATTGAATTTTACAATGTTGACAAAAGCGTCTCTTACACATGGTAGCCTGTTGAATGCGATTCAATATAAAGTTTTGGGAAGTTTGTTAAGCAGGTTCACGTGTTAAAACGACTCCAAAGTATATTTAATAAATGTCTTAATCAAACAGCAATAAATGTTCAAAGCAATAACCAAAGTAACACATACAGACATAAGCAACACCAACTGAGCTGTGCCCCAGACTACTGAGTGCACATGGCCATATCACCTTCACAGGTGGTTGGTCATGATCAGTCACCTGCAACTGATGACATCACAGCTTAACCATCTGGGAAAATGCTAGTTGCCAGAAATACAGTTAGCACACCAACTTGAATACCTTTGTATAAATTCAATGTCCACAAAATGGCACATTTGACCTAATTTAAGCCGAAATGTTAGGAGAGATCTCAATACAAACAAATACCACAATAAGGTAAATGGAAAATAACACAAAGCATGTTAAAACGGGATAGAAGAAATGGCCTAACCTAATATGAAGGAACAAATGTACTTTTTAACGCTCGGTTTACGATACCTGAAACAGATTTTTGAAGATTTATTAAAATAGCGGTGCTAATAAATGTTGATTGAAGCTACTGTTATACATGGTAGTCTGTTGAATATGATTCAATATATAAAAGAATAATTACCGTACTATTTTAACCTCTGTATATGATGCTTGACATAGGATTTTGAAAGTTTATGAAAATAGAGATAGAAATAAATTTTCTAATATTGGAATCCCAATATCTGGACATCTAGCCAGTGATATCAAAAACAAATGGTATGTGTATTTAGATCATTTTGAAAATACTTACATTGTTTTAATTATATTTTTAAAAAGTATATGGGTCATGCATCCGTTGTTTAAAATGATAGTCTTTCAGATGAAATTATTCTAAAGTTTTTGGCAAATCAAGAATTCAGAATATCTAATATACTTATTTCTACATTGATTTGAATATTTGTTTTGGATTCGGTCAGATTTTTCTTAATATTAAAATGTTTGTTAGAAATTCAGAAAAGATGGAATTCAGTAATTTAAGGCTCAACATTTGATAGACATTTTTTGTTATTCATTTCATTAGCTCTAAATTGAATTGAATATTTGATCGTTTTAGATAGCCGGATTGGTCATCTACTACTCTACTAGACTAAAAGGGTCATAGGTCAGTTAGATATCTAGGAAGTGTGGGATAAATTACTTAGTGCTCTATGTTTGATTGACATTTTCTTTGTTTGTTGTTTATCTCTTTAGAAGGCATCAATTATTCATGAAGGGAATTTGATTTTAATGATGTGGCATTTCTACTAATTCAATTAGTTCTTTCAATTTCAATATATTTAATTCTAAAAACAATAATTTGTCACTTTTACCCATGCCAAAATAATTTTCAGGCAGGGAGGTTAAATAAAACAGTTTGATTGACATTTTCTTTGTTTGTTGTTTATCTCTTTAGAAGGCATCAATTATTCATGAAGGGAATTTGATTTTAATGATGTGGCATTTCTACTAATTCAATTAGTTCTTTCAATTTCAATATATTTAATTCTAAAAACAATAATTTGTCACTTTTACCCATGCCAAAATAATTTTCAGGCAGGGAGGTTAAATAAAACAAATTGGATATTTGAATCTTTTAAAATTAGTTTTATTTTATTTATAAAAAGGAAGGAATACTACAGAAAATTAATTTATTTTATCATATTGGGTTGTCACAAACTCACATCCTTTGTAGACATCAATGTTTTTCAAGTTTTCATGTTTCTTCCTAACAAACTCATAATCTATGAATATTTCAACAAAGTACAACTTTTTTCAATAGAACGAGTCTTTATGTTGCTTATCAACCTATTAGTAGTAACAATTTTAAATTTCACTCGATTTAATTTCTTCCAATGTCAAGTCGTTATAATGTAAAACTCACTTAATAGCAATCCATAAAGACGTAAAAATCAATGTTTCATATTCGTAATCAATACATCTGTCTGCTGTCTGCAATAGTCGAGGTCATACTATTGCTTGTCGTTGTTTGATTGAAATCCTTGACTTGTTATTGATTTTGCAAAATGATGCCAGCGGGAATTAAAAATGTCCTAATTAATGATAGGAATTCTAAACTTGATATCTTAATTTATTTGATTAACTACGATATGGGTATTTTTGATTTTTTTTTTTGAAGTTTTTAGCTGGGTGGATTCGCTTAGCATGTTTTCTCAGGGGTTAAAGTTGGGGCCCGAGCCCAGAGACTCAGTAGTAGTCTGAGTTACATTCTGAATTCCCTGGAGTACAGTCTGAATTTGAGTCTTTCAGTGGATATAAAGAAGTCAAAATGTTTTTTTTTTTTTTTTTTTTTGTTTGCCAATTGATCGAATTAATAGTTGATTAGTTCCCATCCAAATTTGATTTGATCCCATTCCCAGAAATAAACATTTGCACAGAAAAATTATACATCCACAATGATAAAAAATTAAATAAATACAAACACAAACATATTATCCAATACCCATTTTTACATCGTTAGTCCAATTTTAATATTCCAGTTCGATTTCGATATTCCAAGATATGTTGTCGATAGAAACTAGAAAGCAACAAGTCTGCAAGCATTTTTTACAGTCTATCAAAGAATACTCTTCATACACTGAAAGTTTTTGTTATTAAAACTTTATTTTTATGGATGTGGAATCAGAGACAAATTTCTTTTTTAACTGAGAGTCAAAGTTGGAAGTGAACCTTTTTGGAATCTGTATTACCGTATACTTTGTCTGTAATCAGCAAGCTCACAATGAATAACAATTGCGCAATTGTGTCTGTCAGAAAGCAGGGCTCTATGCTACTACTCATGTATAGCACACATCCTCAATTTTTCATTAAAACCTGGTACAGAATTACGTCGTTATACTCTAATAATATGGTAATTTAAAGTAAAATTAACTTGATCTGTTAAAATATTTTGACTGTAATGCATTCAATATTTTTATTTTTATTTTTTATTATCAAATTTGGCGTATAAGCAGGGGTCACAACTCACAAGTGTTGACTTATGGAAGAGGGTCATAGATCCTAAAATTTCAAAAAACACTGTTTTAAATCTTTCTGATATTTCTTATAGTTTACTTTTTGAATTCTATATTTTGTATTTCTGTCTTATATTTATGTATAATTTTTTTTATCAAATTTACAGCAATGAAAGTGCTCTTGAAATGAAAGAAAACATGAACAAAGTAGAAGAAGCTAATAACAATAATAAACTGGCAACAGTCAAATCTTCTGGACAAAATCTTGACATTATTAACAATGATAAACCAGTAAATAGAGACGAATCTAATAAAGAAATCAACATTGAGACGCTAGGAAGGGCTGATTCCACCGAATCCAGTGAAACTGGGGAACTATCATCATCAAAGAGTACAGAATCGAACACTGGATTATCAAATGGGTTAGATTCTGTAAAAAAAATCGATTCAAGCGGAACAGGAGATAATAAACAAACTTTGGAAAAAGCGGAAATCAAACAAAATAAACAGGGAGATATGATTGGAAACGCAGACATAACTGCTCAGGGTTTATCAGAAAAGACTGATCCAGACGGAACTAAGCAAGTTCAAAAAGGACCTAATAATTCTGTAACAGTGGCGGATGATAAGCCTTGTGATACAGTGTCTAAAAACACCATAAAAGATACTGCAGAACATATTGCATCTACTGACAACACACAAAATTCGGCCAATAAACAGGACCACAACACTAAAAATGTTCTTCAAAAGTCCAATTCGTTTCCAGATAAAATTCCATATCAAATTACGGATAGCCCATCAGAAATAAACGAGGCCACAAATGCACTTGACGATGATAGCATTGAAGATACCACGAATGATATTTCTAACATGGGTGGGGCATCAAATGCGGTTCCTTCTGTCCAGCTAAGAACGCACGCTCGCCATGTGTTCAGGAATAATTTGAGTGTTCTAAGTTGTCCCGATGTAGTTAATATAGTCTCACAAGACAGCATAGACGAGTTGAACGAGGGACCGACAACTCGACGACATAGTGTGGATATCTTCGAACCGAAACCTAAGTGAGTATGATTGGTTTTAATATGCTTCATAAATCTATATAACTGAGCAAGTCTCTGAACAAGAATTATCTAGATCTTCTAGAGCAGGGGTCGGTAACCTTTTGTTGCTCGCGGGCCAAAATTAAAGGTTGCAAGTCATTGGCGGGCCGCCCATATTTTTAGAAAGTTAAAAATCGAATGAATGACCGATGAATCACATTTTATCACACAGATCCGAAGTTGAGTTTTAAACAGCGTGTGAAGACTGACCAATTAAATATTTTCTGCACCATTAAACCATTTGCACTTAGCATCAATTTTTCTGCGTTTTGTTGCCATTTGTCTAAATTATATTTAAATTATAGGCTCATTAAACGAGTAATTGTGAATTACATACTTGTTACGTTATAATATAATTTAGTCTACACGCAAATTCTTTTGCGTAAAAAATATAATCAACAAAACAGCTTTAATTTGTTACTATAATTCAGTGAAGCGTCGCGGGCCAGATTATATTGCTCCGAGGGCCATATGTTGCCGACCCCTGTTCTAGAGGTTCTGTTTTTGGATGGATATTTTCGCCTGTTCACTCTCTCGCCTATTTGTAAAGTGAAGAGAAATTTCCTATAATAAGGGACTAGGCGAGCAGATAGTGATAGGTAAAGGGCTAGTGTTTCTGAAAGGATCAGAAATCAGATGTTCGCCTACTAAATATAATACACTCTCAGTGAGATGTTTTCACACTAGATGGGTGTTTTCTCTCTAGATTTTTAGGAGCTATAGACAAGTAGCCACTCATATATGAAAAGCTATCTAGCTGCTAATGATTTGAATAATTAATTACAGATGGCTTATTCAAGGATGCCAAAACCAAATGAGCAATCTTGAATTTTTCCTAAATATTCATAAAAGCAAAATTTTAAAATATTAAATAGGCTATATTATTAATTCTATTTCGATTAGCAAATTTAAATTCAAATTCTATGGACATCCCTAGACTTATTTACTCTTTTTAGTTCATTTTTGTTATTCCAATTATTTCATCACCATCTATTTTTAATCAGGTTAAAACGCAAGCGAGGTTACTACAAGAGAGCTGAGATATCAGGGCCGATATGTTCCTTAGGCCGGGGACCTTCAGCCACCATAAAGGCAAGACCCATCAGATCTGCAAGCAGTGAATCCAATATTATTGACGCTACGAGGCCTTCAAGGTATTTCCTTAGTCATAGAATTATTTTTCGAGACATTTTTATGTTTTCACTCAGAACAAGGCTCGGGCTATCTATAGGCAGCCTGACTATGTAATTCTGGAAGGACCAAAATTTTTCTGGAAACTGAAGACTGTGAAAAAAGTAGAAAATCGATCAAATCTTTGTCCATGTAAACTTTAAAATTGAATTCTTAGTCTGTATGTCTTAGGTTATGGCTTTGATGTCATGGTTGAGCATGCTTTCTTGGAGTCAGTTTTCTATTTTTGAAAACCAAAAATCGAGATCATATCAAAATTTAAGAGTACTCCGGAAGTCTGTGTTTTAGACTTTTTCTACATCAAACTCAAAAATTAATTTGGCCAAATGTCCCTAAAAAAGGCTTTTATTTGCCAATTGTTTTTGTCTCTAAAACATGATTTCTTCGAACGTTGGTGTGGAGTTTTTTTTACTGGGAATCCAATTTTTCCACCCGGGATCAAGATTGTAAAGTTACCTAACTTCACATTTAATAACATGTTTTCCATGACAAGCGTCAATAATATTTTTTGTTTTATTTCCAGTTTATCTGTCAATGTGACAGAGTACACACTAAATGATGAGAATCAAGCACCATTGATCATTAAATGGGATATTACCAGTTCTATTTCATCACTGGACTGCATCAGTCTATATCTGAGAAAAGAGGGTGAATATATTTTATTGTTCTTATCGTTACCTTTGGCATATGTAAGATTTTTTTAATCAATTGAAAATGCTTAGTCCAGGGGGGAGCAGACGGGTCATAACCTGGCTCATCAAACCATCAAGTGTGGTCCTTGTCAACGCACAGATTTTCCTCCATCAAGCATGAAATCCTAATCCGACAGTATATGTTAACAATGAAATTGATAAACTATGTATGAACTAGAAATTTCAATTGCCCCACTAAAATGTCAAATAACTGATATTTTGCGTTACAGCTTACAGGAACTTTTTTAATTCGTTGCGTACAGGGGGAACCTAATTTTTTTGTGTGGCGCAGGTAGATGTGTGCAGTTGGATATATGGCTCACTGACAAAAAATGTTGCACACCCCTGGCTCAGACAAATAATCGCTCATTGAAATTGCTTTTTGAAACTTTTGTCATAAAGTTTTCTTCACCATTAAAAACCTGAAATTTACGACTACAGATTGGACTCTTATATTAATGGGTTCTTTAAGAAAATGGGCTTTATTTATAACTTATAAACTTTGAAATTGAAAAAAATGGGAAATTTTACCAAAAAAATAAATGTATTTTTTTTGTGCTTCATTTTTGGCTTCTATTCACTATAAAATATTAAGAATACCTTTTTGGATACCAGTCATTTTGAATTTTAATTTGAAGCAAAGTTTTAAATTTCTTTGGTGTTAGGCCAAATTACGTATATCATCATGATTTCACTGGAAAAACAATTTATTTAAATATCCAAAATTAGTCGTAAGAGTTTTAAAATCCAAAAGCACTCAGATAATCGCCATACCTATTGTTTGAGTACCAATGTGCTTTTCTCCTATCATAATACAATGGTAATTAAAATGTATTCAGACAAAAATACTCAGAAATATCAGATAGCAATCTAAAGACAGATTGCAGATGTTTATCAGTCTTTGTTTGTTGTAATATTCAAAATTTGGTAGATTGTTATCTCACTTGATTAAATCATAATTATCTAGTTGACATTTGTATGAATCATAGAGAAAAGTTCTTGTGATGTCATAGAGGTTTTTGATTCGGTGGGTAGTTAATAATGACTTTTTGTCTGTTAGGTCTATTTTGAGATTACGGGATGTTCGAAAGCATTAAAAAAATTTTTCATATTCATTTGATATGAGAGGAAATTCGATAGATAATACAGCTTAATGATCTTACAAATAATGGTCCTAATAATATTTACGCTCGTTATTAGTCTAGGTTAGCCAATTGTTAGTCTAATGATAAAGATGAGTCAAACGAATGCAGATTCAGGTTAAAAAAATTTGGTTCAAATACCATGCTTAACACACCATCTAGTGATAAATAAAGTACAACCGGTGTTAGCAAAACGATTTAATTTGCAACTTTTCGAATTTCTATTCAGAAAAACTTCATCAGGGCATGATATGGATATCACATTAGAAATTCGGCAAACTAATCGATTTGCGAACACCGGTTGTGCTTTATTTATCATCGATATGAATTTACCTGGTGGCCAGTGTTCACTATTAGCGCACTTTTTTGCGAAAATTGCGAAACACTTTCGCAACTTTTTTTAGAGACTACGAAATAGCACTTTTTTCCGATTTTGAAGAGAAATAGCACTTTTTTCCGATTTTGAATGGAATAAAAATTCAAAGTTAACAAATATTTTCGAGTATTAAGTTGACAAATAAGTAACATACTGGTACTTTTGTAACTCAATTCTGCATATCATAACGATATTTACCGGAATTCTAACCTATGAGATGCAGACATAGGAGATAAAGCTTTTGCATTAACGGCAAAATTCTTGTTTATAATATGATTATTATACAAGCACACGGATTCCGCTTCTCCTGCAAAAAACGCTCCCGGGGCGTTTCTTTGAACGAGAGTGGTCATGTGACTATCAATGATATCGATGAATTCAAAATGACTATAAAAAGTGTTAGTAACGTGTTATAGTCACTTTGGATGAATTGTGACCAAACTGCACGATTTTCAAATCAGACGAAACTTTTAGCAGCATGTCACAGATTTGCAAAATCAACAAATTCACAAAATACCATTAAATGCCATTTTATTGTAATCACAATGTTGAAAGGATGTGGCATTTTCCGGGTTTTGCGATATTTACACATTTATTTCTCATTGATATGCGAGGAGGGGTGGGCAAAATTCAATATTTTTTTAAATCGAATATTTTTAAGGAGTACCGAATAAACGTGGTGGAAACATTAAAAAATCGGCAACAAAGCCTTTTTACTGGTTAATTCCGTTGTAATCGCTAATTGTTCTTGTCACCGATCGTTTTGGCGGCGATATCCAGGTTTTGGGTAATCTATATTCCCGCCCTCTCTTTTTTACAAATATGAATTCTTGTGGGTCGGAGGACATCGAAGTTTTATATTTCGGGTTTACCCGTTCGTTCACATCGGACATTGAGGAGTCAAATTAACATTTGCGCTGGCTTTAATATTACCTATCAAGATTTGTAAATTTACCGTCCCAATTTTATGCGAATGGTAATATTATTGTCCATACCGTGATGCAGATATTTATTAAGACGATAATTAACTTTCTCATGTATTTCTATGGTGATAAACTTCGCAAATCTGAAATTGTGCCAATCCTGAATGTTGATTTGAAATAGTGATTGAATAATTCGGCTATAAAGGCATTTCTGCGTGGTCATAAGACGAGATGACGTTAATGAACAGCACTTCTTTTACAGGATATTTCACGTATGCGACTTATTGCTAAAAAGATTGGGCTCGAGTGCTTTTTTTTCGAGTGCTCGAGTGCCTAATAGAGGTCAGGCGCTAATTGTAACTAATTCCCTCAAGTTTCGACGTGTTTTCAACAAAACAATACCCCGGCGATAATTATAGCTAAAATGTTACCGAGCAATTCACAATTTTATTTATGGAATTTGCAAATTCACCAGTTTCTTGACGATTTTGATATTGTCACGCCCTAATTATTAGTGCAAAAAAATACTCCCCTTCTTCCGCGGCGGTTTGACGGGTTCTTTGTTCCATTCTTCAGAAAGTTCTGACACGGGGGATATAGAATACTGAATCCGGAGGGTTGAATCCCTGTCCACTTACTGGTGATTTTCCGTTTTGAAATGCGTGAAACATTCTCTATTTTAAATTAAATGACGTTTCGCGGGCTAGAGTTCTCCCCGAAAATGATGTGTTCCAGACGTTAGTTAGACGATAGATAAAACATTAAATTAATAATTTTCGTGACGCCCCGTTTTCGAAAATACAAAGTTATATCTCAAAAAAATGCGTTATAATACATTTGGAATGAAACATTATTTACGGTGAATTCAGATCACATTTTACTCTCCATGACACCCGGTATCCGAAAATACAGTTGTATCTCGAAAAATGTGTTTTGTTACATTTAAAATAAAACATTTTTGCAATTAATTTAGATCAAATTTTACCTTTCACGGTAACCCGTTTCCGAAAATACAAAGTTATATCACAAAAAATGAGTTTTGTTACATTTATTTTGCATTCCCAATAAAATACATATTTTCCCTAATTAAGGTCGTCGATGAATCTGTTCCTGTCGTTCAAGCTCGACACACGTTTGGACGAGTGTGGGGCGGTTTTTTGATCGACGATAAATTAAAAAGTTGCCACACGTTATTTGTATAACCATAATAACTGAAAATTAAGATTTTATAATAGAAGTGAATTTGTCTCAAGATGGTATTTTACGATTCCTGCCCACAGAAAATAAACACGCTGACAGGCTTGGTTATAATTGATATTCGTTTAATTTATTTTACACTATTAATAAACGCGCCACACCAATTGCGACCATATAAATTGCAGTCGCATCGGTATGGACTGTATGTTTTTGGCGCTCTCAAATTAATAATAATTTTCAACAAAATAATAATCGACGGTCATTAAAGCTGAATTCGTTACCGAGTAATTCGCAATTTTATTTACGGAATTTGCAATTTCAAGATCTCACTTGACGATTTTGATGATGTCATGCCCTAATTATTACTGCTTAAATGCCTCAAAATACAACAAATGTAATCATTTTCGACGATAACAGGCGCAACAATTCGTAAACGAGCTGTTATAACGAAATTCGCAATTGATTTTACCTCTCTCTTGTTTACAATTTTAACATCCCGCCGGCCATGTATGGTCGAATAAAATGTTCACATATTCGAAACATGACTTGGCCAAGGATGGAAGGGATCACTAAAGAGCTAATAGAAAGTACATACGCGAGGGTATGATATTAATATTGAGAATATGTGTGAGCATATCACAGAACGGAAATATTTTGCACCCGGCTGTTTGTTGGCAGAACAACGATACGCTAAAGTTAATTGATCGAATACAGGGAAGTATTCATTTATCATCTCACTTGCGAACATCGAGGTTTTGGCGGAATTGTACGATCATGTTGTCTTTCTTAAATGATAACTTTTTCAATAAATGTTCATTTTACTTTTGCCTCCTTATTATATATATGTCTGGTTTTCATTTATTTTAAATTCGAAATTGTCCGAAATACTTCAACAGGTGTATAGGTACAATAATAATAGTACTTACCAAAGTACCTACCAGGGAAGTTTAATACACACGATGTGTAAAGGGCGTCGTAACTCCCGTTTATTAATTAATAATTTTTTTACATTCTGCTTAAAAAACATATCAGCGTTCATGTGGTCGAATAAAAATTATTTATCAATTGGATTGGTATTTCGAGACATTCTCAAAATTATTTGGGATCCATTATCATATCATTCGTTTATTTTTTATATTCATGTTTTTCTCAAGAATCACCCTCGTTATATTTAGTGTACCTTCGCAAAGTAAACTCTTTGATGTCATTGTTCCTATTAGTGTAATTGAAATATATGGAAACCTCGCAAGTGGCGTTGTGATGCGAATATTTGATACTAGGTCAGCAGCATTACAAAGAGTGCTATTTATGAATGCTG